TAATGCCGTGTGTGTTCTGGGAAGCGGGGCTGGGAGGTGCGTGACCCGGGGTGTGGGCGTCGACTCCTTTTGAGGTGGGATCCTGCGCTCAAGTGCAGCGGGGAGCGGGGCCAAGTTCACACAGCACCCTGCCTTCCCCTCCCTGCTGTTCGCGGGCCGCCGACCCGGCCACGGCGCAGCGCCGAGCCACGCCGGGACACGCGCCAGGTGAGCTGTGCGCCCACCCCACCACCACCAGCCGTCGCGGCAGGGAAGGTGCCGGGGCAGCAGGGACCCACACGCGCCAGGTGAGCTGTGCGCCCACCCCACCACCACCAGCCGTCGCGGCAGGGAAGGTGCCGGGGCAGCAGGGACCCAGCGTGGCACCACCGGGCGCGGGGAGGGCCGGGCATGGCTGGTTTGGCACCGCCCGGGAGGCCGCCTGAGCCCTGCGCTGCCCTCACTGCTGGTGGGATGGGATGGGATGGGATGGGACGGGAAGGGACGGGTTGCGAGGTCTGGGTCACTGTGGCCTGGCAGAGCGGGGCCCGCACCCTGCGGCAGCGATGCCAGGCAGCTGGACGCGTCTCTGCCTGGCCCGGGTGGTGGGGAAGGTTTTGGCAGCGAGAGGGGGACGTGATGCCAGCACGGGGCCGGCGTGGGGGCTCGGCTGGGCTGGCGGCTGCTCGTCCCCGCTGCAGGTGCCGGGGTTGGCACTGGGGACACTGCCGGTCCTGCAGCCGCCTGCTCTGCTGAGGCAGGGCTGCCTGTGCCCAGCCTCCAGCCCAGCTATTGTGCCAGGCTGGCACCGAGCCCCAGGAGCTGCGCCGGGCTGTGCCGGCTGGGCATGGAGGCAGACCTGGGCCGTGGCGCTTGGAGCCCCTTCCCCGGTGCTGCTGGCTGCCATGCCTTGGCCACGGCACACGGCTGCGTCTGCGAGGCACTTGAGGTGCCTGGGGACCAGGAGCTTTCCTGGTGGCACTGCGGGCGCGAGGAGCTGGATGGCACCAGGGGGCTGGGATGGTGCCATGGGGCTTGCTCCCCAGCATCGTGGGGCGGGGGGGTGTCTGTTTATCCTCTTCTCTCTTCAAACCATTTCCTTTCGTCTCTGCTCGCTGTTTTCTTCTTTCAAAGAGCGGGACCACTTCCCCCGGCCACCTCCCCTCCAGCACCGGGACCCCCGGCACACCTCTGGCACATGCCTACTTCAGGGCCAGCCTGGCCGGACCCCGGCCCACCGCCCTCCCTGCCACG